CCGTCGATTGTCGATCCAGCTAACAGATACTTTGTCTTCGACGTATTCACCTTTAATCCAACCTTCTCTGCTTCACGTTTCAGCCTGGTGTACTGCTCCGCCACGGCCTGAAACGTTCTTCCGACAATGTCCACGTCGTCAGCGAAGCAGATGAACTGGCTGGACTTATTGAAGATCGTTCCCCGCATGTTAAAGCCCGCACGTTTCATAACACCTTCTAGCGCAATGTTGAACAGGAGGCAGGAAAGACCATCGCCTTGTCGAAGTCCTTTGCGAGTTTCAAACGAGTCCGATAACGCACCCGATATCTTCACGCATCCATCGTAGCCCTGATCAGTCTGGTCAGCCTCCGGAAAAACCGTTCTCGTCCATAATCTTCCATAGCTCTTCACGGTCAATAGTATCATAAGCGGCCTTGAAATCGATGAATAGGTGGTGCGTAGGGACTTGATATTCACGACACTTTTGGAGGATCTGCCGCAACGTAAAAATTTGGTCCGTTGTCGATCGGCCGTCCACAAAACCGGCTTGATAACTTCCCACAAATCTGCTTGCTAGCGTTTGATAGTTCTCACATTCTAGTTTGTCGCCTTTTTATGTAATGGGCATATTACTTCCTCTTTCCACTCCTCCGGTAGCTGTTCTGTATCCCAGATCCTGACTATCAGTCGGTGCAGACAAGTGACCAACTTATCCGGGCCCATTTTGATAAGTTCCGCTCCGATACCATATTTCCCAGCTGCTTTGTTGTCGTGTATCATCCTTAACTTCACCAATCATAGGAGCTGGCATATCCCCCTCATCCGCTGTACCGACGAAGCCATTCCTCCTGCCGCCTTGGTCCTCCGCCTCTGCGCCGTTCAGATGTTCATCGTAGTGCTGCCTCCACCTTTCAATCACCTCACGTTCGTCCGTTAAGATACCCCCTTCCTTATCCCGACACATTTCGGCTCGCGGCACAAAGCCTTGACGGGATGCGTTGAGTTTCTTGTAGAACTTGCGTGTTTCTTGAGAACGATACAGCTGCTCTATTTCTTCGCACTCCAGCTCTTCCAGGCGGCGCTTCTTATTCCGGAAAAGATGGGTTTGCTGTCTTCGCTTCTGTTTATATCGCTCCACATTATGACGGGTTCCTTGCTGCAGCATCGCCGCCCGCGCTGTGTTCTTCTCGTCCAAAACCGGCTGACACTCTTCGTCGAACCAATCGTTCCGTCGATTCCGCTCCACGAACCCAACGGCGCCTTCAGCAGCGCTGTTAATGGCTGCTTTCACGTTGCTCCAGCAGTCCTCAGAAGGGGTTTCGGTGAGCTCTCCCTCATCCGGCAACGCTGCGACGAGGCATTGCGCGCTTCAGTCGGTCCAGATTGTACCATGGCGGGCGTCGGTACCGAATGTTGTTGGCAACGGAAAGTTTTTGGCGCACCTTGACGATTAGAAGGTAGTGGTCCGAATCGATATTTGCGCCGCGATAGGTCCTGACGTCGATAATGTCCTAGAAGTGCCTTCCGTCGATCAAAACGTGGTCGATTTGTGATTCTGTCTGCTGCGGTGATCTCCAGGTGTACCGATATGGGAGGCTATGCTGGAAGTAGGTACTACGTATGGCCATGTTCTTAGAGGCGGCGAAATCGATGAGTCTAAGGCCGTTGGCGTTCGTTAGCTGGTGAGCGCTGAACCTTCCTATAACCTGGCCAACCTGAGCGTTAAGATCTCCGGTGACGATTTTGACATCATGGCTTGGGCAGCTGTCGTATTCCCGTTCCAGCTGCGCGTAAAAAGCGTCTTTATCGTCATCGTCACTACGATGTCGAACTTGCTGACCCTCAATAAATCGGAAAGAATGCGGGTACTTCCCAAGAAATTGAGAGACTTGCAGTTCAATGTTCCGAGTTTCCAATCGTTAGTCCGTTTCCGTTGCTTGGGTCTATGCCGATTGTTCCGGTCCGTATTTACATTGCTTGCTTCCTGTACTTTTGTTTTTTTTTACGGCTGGCTTGTAGGGCCTGCACCAACCCCCATTGTCTCGCCGGTGGACCATCGTGCACAGCACTGTTTAGAGTCCCACGCTGGCACCAGGATGTTGATCAGCCGCTCCTAACATGGGGAACAGACGCCGTTTTGAGCCACTCCTCCATGGTGAACAGACGCTGGAAGACTGCACTCTCCGGAGAGAGAAGTCCCCCCTTCCCTGTCAGCATACGACCAAGGTCCCACCGGGGTTGGTTATCCGATCTTCCCTATGGTTACTCGTACCCCAGCCGGCACCGCGGGGAGGTAGGGATAGGAGTTACTGGATAAGAGGCTAAGTACCGCTAGTGGGGTCTATTTTATGCCTGCAGATACGCGAAGTATCAATGGTACGCATTGTCCAGCCGTTTACCAGCCTTTGCATCTCTCAGAAGAATCACATTTCATCGTCATTACTACCTTCAAAATTTTGAAGACGACAACTATGACTCGCCGTTGGAGAGGAAGCCGTGCTCTTGTCAATTCTAGTTTCTGCATTTCCAGGCATCAAATTGCCGCTCTTATGGAGTCTTTTGAGGACAATTTCAACCAGCAAATTGCTGCTCTAATAAAGGCTTTTGTGTATGACCAGAAGCAGAAGACCAGCTGAACTCGCCAGAGAAAGCGGAGAAACAGCAAACTATTCATGGACCGGAAAATTCGGACTGTTTGTTACCTTCAGCGTGTCCCTCATTTCTGCTCACCTGCCACATCTGATACGGTTGAATCGCTGACTGAATTACTCAAACGGCCCACGGGCCACCAATTTATCTTCTAGATAGAGGTTGATAGCAAGGTTGCAAAGACTCATTTCAGCTAAAACAATGTTTTTCTAAATTATGAAATAATTAGATGCCATGATCAAATTTTGAATTGGTAGGATACAAGAAGAGGTTGCAAAGAATATGTTTGACATATTAAACCTGTTTATTTCACTTCATGAGAGTCACAATCAGCGATTTTTCACAAACTCACTCACTCACTCACTCACTCACTCAGCGATCAGCAAATCGCTGATTGTGACTCATAGAAAGCAAAATTTACAGGTTTTATGTTTCCAACGCATACTTTGTAACCTCTTCTTGTAAGTTACAAGTAAAACATGCCATCATACCATCTTTGGGTTTTATTATTCCGAAAAACATTATTTTAGCGGAAATCAGTCTTTGCAACCTTGGTTGATAGGACAGAACTACTCAGAGTTAGTTCAACGGACCGAGTAGCTCGATGTACCTCAAAATATGATCGATGGTTCAGAAATTCGAAGCTAGAAACCACCTGTTTATAATGACAATACTTACTCACATTGTCTGCAATTGTGACCGCAAAAGGACAAATATTTTCTATTGCGAACACAAGAAAAGCAGCAGTGTAAGAGGATGCAACAAAGCTTCTAATCCTGAAGCAACCGGGCCGAGACTCTTCTGGGTGCCCATTTCTCGTAGCGACGTTGAGGTATGCTTCGTTGCGCCTTTCCAACCATCAGGTTATCCCATGTCCAGCAGCAGCCGCGCCAAGACTCTCCCGAGTGTCCATTCATCGTAGCAAGGTTGAGGTTTCCCTCGCTGCGGCCTTCCAACCTGTCGCATACACCAGTTCAACCCCTGCCCAGCAGCAGACGGGCCGAGTTTCTTGCGAGTGACTAATCATTGAACCAAAGAATATGGGATTGTCCAGTCCGGATTGCTGATCCAGCTACCTACACGTCATCATCATCTTCCAGAGGCTTTAAGCCTGTACTACCATCGGCCCTTTTCAGGACCAACAAGATTTTCCAAAAGAGTTAAATTTCTGAACATGTCCCAACTAAAATTCATATAAATATTTTCTTTTCAGGGCAATCATAGTCATACTAAGGCTCTGAACCATTTGGTGGATTATTTTAACTTTTGGTTAAAATGTGACAGATGGAAAGTTATAGATTAACCCTGCTATCCGAGCGTGGTTACTTCTGACAGACAAGAAGTTAAATTTTGACAACCTTGGCTAAGTTCTTCTCGAAAACCGGTCGATCGACAGCACAGGGATTTTCGAACATACAAAATAACTTTCGAAATGTCACTTTTAACCACGAGTTAAATTTAACTCGGCAAATGGTTCACAGCCTAAAGAGTATAATCAGAGAGAACCCCACTCAAATTCCTATTTCTACACAAAACACAAGCTTCTGCCCCATAGGACTGTGTGTACCAATTTTCCCAAAACAACAAAGTTGCCGGTTTTTTTATTTGAAAAGTTATTATAATTTTCGTGAAAAAAAATGCCCTCTAAATGAGTTAAACGAAAAAGGCAGCTACAACTGTGTAGAAAATTGTGCTGGTCTATCTCAAATAACGAAGAAGTTGATTTGTTGAACTCAATAACCATAGAGACCACCCTAATAGTATAAACAAAATATGTTTCAGTCTTGACTTTCTTCGATTTGCGTGAAACTTTGCCTACTTCTTTTCCTAGGAATCCTAGTATCTTCCGAGATTTGCCGAATTCTTTCAGTATTTTTTCGTCGCTGTTCCAGGAAACCTAGGATTGTAAAAAGAATTGGAATTTATGTTACTATGATTATTTTTCAAAATATAGCATCTATAAATGACTTCAAGAATCAACACATTTTCCTCATAAATGCCTTCGATTGATTGCTAACCGAGTTCCTATGGTATTACAATCACATGTACAACGTTAGATATTCCATAACTACGTGTTTTCGCCGTACAGCAATGTTATTGGTTATCAAACCAGGCGGCACTTTTGCGTCACTCTGATTATTCATAGCGATGACTCAGTGCGATGCCTGCCAAATAAATAAATAATAAAAAAAACGTTCATTTAATCGCGTCCCTTTAGCAGAGGCGTTATTTCCTAGCACCTCTCCATCATCGGCTTTATACTACCTAGCTATTCGTTTGCATTTATTCACTGTAGCTATATGCCTACCCAAACCAAACCCATCCAATCGCCACGCTTACTCATAATCGTTCCTCTTGCTTTCCTTCCAGCAACAAAGCGGAATCCATCGATGTCACTGTGGCAGACTTTGACGGTGTGTTGTTTCACATTTCCAACATCAACGGCGACAAAACTAAAGTGAGAGTAAGTATCGGCAGGGGCTTATAGTCTATATCAAATCAAAATAATCAGTGCACATTAGTCAATCAAACGAGCTGCTGGGTGCGATGTTGCTACCGTTATTTCGCGTTCCCTCCTCCCATTTCCGAGCGAAAGCAAAAGTTGTGTATGCTGCGCGCATGGTGATCATTATCTAATTTATTCCGAGATCGGTGTGCCCGTGTGATTGACTGTGTCGAGCGTGCCTGCATGACCATGCTGTGCAGTAGGTCAGTGACATCTCCCCGCTGTCGCCCAGTTGGCTAAGCTGCCAATTAATAATAGATTTCGCTACCATGCAATCAAATGCACATATTTTTATCATTTTCCCATTTATTTCCCTACAGACGAGTATATCGCTCAAGTTCTACAAACAGCTACAGGAACACGGAGCAGACGAACTGCTAAAGCGAGAGTATGGAGACCTGCTTATCACACCGGAAGACGGCTACAACGTTTCGGTCCTGGTCGACCTGGAGCAGATTCCGGACAACTGGGAGGAAATTGTGCGGAAGATTGGTCTACTGAAGCGGCACTGCTTCGCATCGGTGTTCGAAAAATACTTCGACTTCCAGTCACAGGGTGAGAGCGAAAGCGAGGACCAAAAGCGAGCGGTGATCAACTACAGGAATGACGAGACTATGTAAGCTACTATGAGGAAAACTTCCTTAGAGGGGAGAATAACGTTTGCATATCGTTCCATCAACAGGTACGTGGATGCGAAATCGGACCGGGTGACGGTCGTGTTCAGTACGATATTCCGCGATGAGGACGATGTAGTGTTAGGCAAAGTGTTTATGCAAGAGCTCCGTGAGGGCAGGAGAGCATCACACACGGCACCGCAAGTGTTGTTTTCCCACAGGGAACCTCCGCTCGAACTGGCAAACACCGGTGCACGGGTAGGGGAAAATATTGGATATGTTACGTTTGGTAGGTTTATTGTCACGTTATCGGTAGCAGTGGTACCCACTAGAAAGCTTGGAGTTGATATCGATTACTTATCTTGCTTACTCTATTTTTAGTATTATTTCCAAGGCATACATCAAAAGATACGCGTGATAACACAATTAATCTAATTCACATGTTCCGTGATTATTTGCATTATCACATTAAGGTAAGTTTGGGTGTGGCCTACTGAAGAATATATATATATTAGAGCTTGTGAACAATGGATCTCAATGATTTGGAGGGTTTGGTTGATGGTAATTAGAAATTTTGAATTTGCGTTTCTACAGTTCTATCCGCATTGGCTATTAAATTTTCATGAGTGCTAGGTGCAACATATCTTAACTCAACACGATTGACTCATTGTTTGCGTAACATTTGAAAAGGACTACGCCAAGATTAATTTGTTGGTGCTTCCTTATTACTTGGTTCTTATTATAAATACTTTGCTGCCAACATTTCATTAGGTCGAAACTGCTTTTTTAAACAATGCACAGTGGGCCAGGAATTAAATCTAGCAAGAAAAATAAATAAAAACGCGTCATTGGGACGGTACTAATGGATATTTTTGGTCGCAATTAACCACTTCATTCGAGCAGTTAAAATGACGTCTACTACCACTCGAACTTTGAAATAAAACATTATTTTGAGATTTTTTCTTCTAGAACCTCGAGAAAAGTAACCAACATTTGTGCGTTTTATAAAAAAATTGAAATTAGTTGGTCCAGTTTTGTGAAATCGCTGGTAGAAAGTCGCGCAAAAACTGCTTGACAAAGTGGTCAATTGAAAATTTACTCGATTACTGAATTTATGTATGGGACCATATTAGGGACATTTAGGCCGACACACGGAGAAAAATGGATTTTTGTTTCAGGGCCTAATGTATTTTGTCATTGATTCAAATGTACTGTATCACTATTTCAACAAAACATATTTTTGAATCAACAAAATGGTTTCTAGAATCAACAAACAGATTATTGACTCTACAACCGGTTTGTTGATTCAAAAATATTTTTGTTTTAATTAACCGAATAATACATTTTAATCAATACCAACAATATATTAGGCCCTGAGCCAGGAATATATCCATTTGAATTTAAGACTAATTTTTCTCACGAATGACCCAGGAGCGTTAAAGTGACTATAATAATAAAAAAAAAATGCATATAATTCCAATATAATTGAGAGTGCATTTAACGAGAGTTCTGAGAAGAATTCTATGATGATCGGACGAGGATTCCAGGTCCAATTCCAATAAGAATTGAGGAGGTTAGAAGGAAAGGGGTGTAAATGACTCTGATCTATTCTCTTCATCGACTTTCTCTTTTGATAGTCACAGCTTTATAAACAGATTTTGCAATATTTATTCCACATAGTTTGTCTCATCTAGCATCCAGAATGGCACACGAATCAAGGAATGTGTTTGCAGCTGAATTATTAACGAAAGAGAAAGTCGATGAAGAGAATCGATCAAAGTCACTTACATCACTTTCCTTCCAACCCCCTAAATTCAAAATTAATTCTGAAATTGAGTATAAAGAGTTCGCAATAAGTTCCGAGAATTCCAATGGAATCGAATTTTAAAGGTTCAATCTTAAAGGAATTCTGAGAAGAGTTTCAAAGTTATTCTATGACGGATGTCCCTAATTTGGGCCCATACATAAATTCAACAATCGACTAAATTTTCAATAGCGACCAAAAATATCCATTAGTACCGTCTCAATGACGCGTTCGTCTAGATAAAATCGATTAATAGCATATTTTTAGCTATGAGCCCAATCTTAGATCCATAGGCCAACATTAGAGCCCTACTATAGACCTTCTAAGGAGAATACGAATTGAATTTGAATTTTTTTGAATTGCCGTACTATAACGGAACTATGAACTCTTTACTTTCATCTCCTCATCTATCGTAAAAAATGTCCACTTTAATTCTGATATTTGATGTTAAGGTTCTACAAAGGGTAAGTAATTTTGTGTTCTTCTTCTTTTTTTAAATATCATAAAATCATCATCATTAGCTTACACATACATTCATATATTATGAATACGAAAATTTAAAACATGTATTTCGTGATTTTAGATCGAAAATTTCCTGGGTAAAACACATTCACTGTATTTACTTACTTGTATTCTTCGAAGTAATGCACAATTAAACGCAATCGAATTCACGAAACTCAAAACGACTGCTTCACAAAACTCTTGGTGAACAAAATTTATCACAAAGAAAACCATTTCTACTTTATTGCTTTGCTAGCAATCGTGAAAGTATCATTGAAACAGCGGTGCCAGATGCATTGCCTCTAGCAATGAATTTAAGTTTATTAAAACAATTAATTGCGAAGTCTGCCTCATTAACATAGATGAGTGGATGTATTTAATGGTGGATAAATTTCAAAAACTGATTTAATAAAACATAAATGACCATTTTAGACATTTTACCGGTTCAATTAAAAAAGTCACAGAAGATTGAATTCAACACTAACAGGGTTGATGGCAGCAGTGCACGTAGCCTGGTATTCGTTTTCCCGCTCAGGGGTATAAACAAACTTGCATACAGCGCAGTCTGGCAGTGTGAATATTTTGTCTGCTACATTCTTATCCACTAGATAGTGTAACATCACATTTGCTGTTGTATTGAAATGTGCGAAGAAAAGAGATGGTTAAGTTTTCCTCGCCATACCAGTTGATATTTATGAAAAATGGACTGTTTTGGCGTGGGGACATGCACTTCCAATGAATTTTACCAATACATTTAGAAAATGATGATCGAAGAATATTTCAAAAAGAAGAAGTAAACAAAATAATGACCCTTTGTAGAACCTTAAGCATTTCCAACTACGAAAATAATTTATTTCCAAGAATTTTGAAGATTGTTCTGCAAACAATTTAAAAAATGCAGTATTATGTAAAAGCTTGTTTGCCTCTTAGTTTAAGAGAAGGGCTATTATTCTAAAAAAAGTTCTTAAGATCATTCTGAAGAAAATCTGTGAAAAGTTCTTAGCGAATTATCAAAGTTATCTAATATCAAATCTTAAAAGATTTCAAACGTAGAATCAAATGCAAGATCATAAAAAATGGGAATTACTATTTGCTAGTCATCATGTATAACGTAAGCAAAAGTGAATTATTCAAATTACTTCAAATGCTCTTCATAGGAGATTCCGTTGTGAGATTTGATTAAATTAGAGGAATTTATGAAATTTGATTTTAAGTTCCATGACACAAAAAGTTTATTTCAATATCAAACCATATTTGAGTTTCTAAGTTACCATATAAATGGTTACTGGTTACTTATTTAGTATTTACAAGTCACTATTTGGTCACTATTTCCGTAATTTTAATCACTAAAGTCACTACTATTATATCGCATCAGCACTACCAGCCCTGTGCTACGGTTTCTTATGACTTATAGACATGAACTAGCCTAAGGCTAAAAATCTCTTTAATAAAGAATTAAAAAAAAAAAATCTTATGACTTCCGTAAAGCTGACCACCGTAGCATCATAGAGGTATTGTCTAGCATGGTATGGGAGAACATCCTTGATCCAGATGACGTTGAGGCTGCAGCGCAAACCTTTTCACATGTCTTGGCATATGTCATTGACAGACACGTCCCGAAAAGAACTCACCACAAAGTGTCTCACCCTCCCTGGTAGACGAGAGAGCTACGTAGGTTGAAGTCAATCAAGAGAGCAGCATTGAGAAGATTTACGAAGTATCGCACGCTTCCTCTGAAACTACATTATGTGAGGCTGAATCACATGTACCAGCGAGTCAGTCGTGAATGCTTTTCAAGTTTCCAACGAGGCATCCAGCGCAAACTTAAGCTACACCCGAAATCCTTTTGGAACTACGTGAACGAGCAACGGGAAAGCAGGGAATCCGGCCTCCCATCGTCTATGGAATTCAACGGAGAAGTTGCTGCCACTGTTCAGGATATATGCCACCTTTTTTCCGAAAAGTTTTCCAGTGTATTCACTAATGAGATACTAACTGACGACCATATTAACCTGGCTGCCAGGAACGTTCCAGTAAACGATCAAACGCTGGGTGCAATTGATGTTAATGCAGAAATGATTTCTAAGGCCGCGACTCTGCTCAAGTCATCCTTCAATCCTGGACCTGATGGAGTTCCATCTGTAGTTTTGAAGAGACATATTGCTAGCTTGTTAATTCCGCTTCTTCGCCTGTTCCGAATGTCTCTCTCCAGTGGCATATTTCCATGCTGCTGGAAATTTGCGCACATGTTTCCCGTCCACAAAAAAAGAAAGGAAACGAGCTGTGGATAACTATCGAGGAATTACATCGTTAAGTGCCGTTTCGAAGCTATTCGAGCTAGTGATTATGGAACTGTTGCTGTCCCATTGCAAGCAGTATTTGAGTGCTGATCAACATGGGTTTACTGTCAGTCGCTCTACAACCACCAATCTGCTGTGTCTCACATCGTATATAACCGAAAGCATGTCGGATCGGGTTCAAACGGACGTTATTTATTCAGACCTATCCGATTGCGATTGCTAAACTCGGCAGGCTCGGTGTATGCGGTAATCTTCTGAGTTGGTTTCGATCATATCTTACCGGTCGGCAACTAAAAGTTGCCATAGAAGATTGCAGATCAGCTAGATTCTTCGCCACAGTATACAGGTATACCTCAGGGAAGCCACATGGGACCGTTATTTTTATACTGTACTTCAACGACGTGCATCTGGTCATCGAAGCTCCTCGGTTATCATATGTAGATGACCTCAAAATCTTCCTACGAATCTGCTCCATTGCTGACTGTTACTTTCTTCAACGTCAACTGAATGTATTCGCTAGTTGGTGCAGGTTAAACAGAATGGTAGTGAACCCAGCCAAATGCTCCGCTATTACGTTCTCACGAAAACAACAACCGATAATATTTAGCTATGACCTGCTTGGCTCGACAATCGAACGCGTGAATCAGGTGAAAGACTTGGGTGTGATCTTGGATTCGCAGCTTTCATTCAAGCAACACATTGCATATGTTGTTGATAAGGCGTCAAGAACTTAAGGGTTCATTTTTAGGATAGCTAAAAACTTCACTGATATCTACTGTCTAAAATATCTCTATTGTTCGCTTGTTCGATCGACGCTTGAGTATTGTTCAGCGGTTTGGAACCCAAACTACAACAACAGTGCCGAGAG